AGTTAAATAAAAGGGAACTCTTTAGCTACAATGTATCAATGTTATGTTATAAAACAAATGGTAAACACCACAGCGTACACTATTGAGTTATGGATGCACTTGGGAGGTTTGCTAAGCACTCAAGAAGCTAGAGTCGCTCTCGGCTATCGCCTCGAGCGACTCTTACGCTTCTTTCGTGCTTAGCAACCTCCCGCGTGCATCCATAACTCAATAGTGTACGCTGTGGTGTTTACCATTTGTTAAGAAGTGAGATGGCGGGGGAAGGAAAATGAGAAAAAATGTTGGCGCGGATGGTCACGGTTGGACTGTGGGCAAAGAGTAATATATACTTCTTCAAATTTTCTCGACTTTACATTTTTTTGTTATGGGGCTTCACTCCGCGCACAGCGCATGCTGCGAGCTCCGCTAATATGGATAACTTCAGGTTCGATGCAACCTTTTCTTCTGGACAGTACACCAGTACAGAGTGTTTCCACTGGTCTAGCTCTTTTACTCAGTTTTTGTTTCATATTCCACTTCAGGCTTTCCAGTAACCGTAATAGCAATATCTCTTGCCATTGGGTTCAAATCAAGTGGACAATCAGAACCAGTGTAAGCGTTGCATTCTTATCGCAATTATTCAAGAACAGTTAGCACATCACCCACAAGGTTGGTCGATCGATCAGTCGGTTGCTTAGTCTGTCAATGAGTCAGTCACTCCGTGAGACGTCTCGCTTGACCAGCTTGTCATTCTGTTGGACAGTCAAACAGTCAGTCATTTGGTCAATCAGTCAGTCAGTCAATCAGTCAGTCAGTTAGTCGGTCAGTCAGTCAGCAAATCAGTCAGTCAGTCAGTTAGTCAGTTATTCAGTCAGTCAGTCAGTCAGCAAATCAGTCAGTCAGTCAGTCAGTCAGTCAGTCATTCCGACAGTTAGTCAGTCAGTCAGTCAGTCATTCCGGCAGTTAGTCAGTCAGTCAGTCAGTCAGTCAGTCAGTCATTCCGGCAGTTAGTCAGTCAGTTAGTCAGTCAGTCAGTCCATCAGTCAGTCAACCAATCCATAAGACAGTCAGTCAGTCAATCAATCAATCAGTAAGTCAGTCCATTTCTAATGTCACAACTCACGCATTCAGTCAGTTGATCAAGTGCTCAGTCCGTCTGTGTATTTCATTCTACTCAGTTCTCGTTTTTGCATTTCTTTGTTTTCAGCTTGTCTATTTATTACTGCTGGCCTTCTGATCACATATTGTGGGCTCTAGTTGTTCCATGTCTTCTCATTGCAACGGTAAAAAATACTTCTTGATGTTTCGTGTTTTATTCCAAGGAGTGCAGCATTTGTGTTTGACGCTTATTAAGGGGAGAGTATTTCAAGAATTTAGGGATACAATCTGTTTAAAATATGTTTTTTACATATTTGGAAATCTACTGGTCTTTAAAGGGTTAATTTAAATACATGGTTCTAATTTTTTTTTACAGCTTACGCGCAGGCCTTATGATTAATGTTTTAGGATTCGCTTTTCTCCGTCCTTAAGAACATTTGAGACGTTTCGGGGGGAGAGGTTCGCCGGGGGCCTGGGTCCAATTACTATCAGCACTAGAGCCCTTGCAGATCTTTCGCCGTGTCGCGTTGCACATGGTCGCATGTTTTCCCGCGGGCGAAAAAAGAATTCTTGCCGGAATAAGAGCCCGCCAGCAGACTAATTTTTTTAACAAAACGAGGGTGAAAAAGGGTGAAGATCTGAATTGGCATTCTTAGGCACTGGTAAACTTGGCGGACTTGACAATCATCTATAAATTTTGAGTTATTACAGTAAATCCTAACTTTCCCTAATTTGTTTGTTTATTTGTTTGTTTGTTTTTTTTACACAGCTTAACTTAATGATATTGTCCGTCGTTCTTCATCACTTACGACAACCTTCTTACGATATATGCGCTAGAGCTGTTCTCGAAAAACGATATACAAGGTACAGTGTCTTCTCTGTCATCTCATTTCCCAATTTTTGGATCCTTTTTACATGATGGAATTTTAAAGATTAGTATCCCAGGCGTTTAGTAATTACATAGGAGCTAAGCTTTGGCATGAAAGTATCCCATACCAGTTCGGTTTTCATTAAATTTCCGTGTATCGCAGGATGTCATTAAATGGCCTTTTAGAGCAATTTCTAATTGGGTGTCAGAAGTAAATCAGGATTTATTTACAATTGTTTTACTTAGCTCTAAGATTGGTCCAAAAAACTTGCGTCATCCTGTTAACCAATCATATTCGAAACTTAAACTAATTGGAATTTGGCTTCACACGTTTTCCCGCGCTTCGCCGATGTGATGCTTTTTACTATGGCTTCCATTGGCTCCTCGTGATATTTTTCTTTCTTTTGATTGGCTGCTGTGATTTTAATTTGGTTTTGATTTAACGACATTCAATCGAAATCGACTCTTAGCTTAGAGCGATTCTAATTCTGAATTTGATTGATTGTATAAAAGAGGGGCATACATTTTCTGAGCCAATCACAGATCGAAGTGAAACAAAACTAATGCAATCCCGTGGTACTATTAACACTCCATTGAAAATTGCTCTTAAAATTGCCCCGAACCCTGTTTGTTGCAGATATGGCATCCGCACCAACAGTATAATGTTAGTTGGTCTATGTCTGGGGTGGATTTTTGGTATCCTGTCTTTCCGAGAGCTTAATGATGTCCGTTTTCAACTCTCTTTTGGACTCATCAATGGGCTTCAGGTTAGTAGACTGTTCATTGTACGACCTGCCTGGAAACAAAGTTTATTTATCTAATCTTGGCAGTATGGGAGGATGTTAATCACATACCAACTGTTCGAATAAGCTTACTCACCATTGATTTCTCTGTAATTTAGTAACAGGGTATTAAATAGCGAAATAGGAGGTTCTGGAATCGATTCCTTGTGGGAGTAACATCTTTCCTTGTTGACGACCGAGCACAAAACTCACCTTCCTTCGTATTCTACTTTCGGCAAATGGCGCTTTCAAAATTTATCTTAGTAGCCTGAAAGACGTTTATCACTTATCAACGGAATACATGACTTGTCTCACAAACGAATTCTCAATTTCAGCGCGCAATCAAGATGGAACTAATCAAACGCGCCATCTGAACGTAGAACATCTCTTATTAAAGTTTGTTTTTCGCCCATAAAGGAGGTTTTCTTAAAAAGTCCCCGATAGTTTGCTTTTGTCACTTACGAAATAATCAGCGTTTTTTTCCATTTCTGTTCTTTTTCCACACCTTTTTTTTTTGTATGACATCTTTCAGTTCTCCGGTTGTGGGGTAGATGGACAACTGATTGTTATCCTAAAGAGCGAGTCTTGTGTCTTGAACGGGAGCGTGCAGCAATTGTTTTGTGAGCCATTTGTTTGTATTTGAGAATACGTGGCAAGGAAATCAGGAGCAGCTACCGAAGTGTTTCCTTACTCCAACTTTCCTTTAGATCATGATACCGCTATTGATATCGTGTTTCTTTTATCTCAGGGAATATTCTTGTTTTTCTTCCACTGCGTTTTAAACATTGATGTAAGTAAAATTGTCAATTCATGTTTTTCGATATTTTTTTCCCTGGATTCTTCTGAGTAAGCAAGGTTATTTGCCATCAACACCACATTTGCTCCATTTTATCCAAGGAGCCTAAGGTTTTAATGTCTAACAGGCCACTGGTTAATTCCTGTGCAGATCAAAGGCTATTACCAGTCTGGGGTTCACCGTTGTAGTCATGAAGATGGTTGTTTGACGGACAGGGAGCGCAGTAAACGGAGTAATCCTCCCACGCATGCGCAAGACCTACAGGTAGGCATGTTTGTCAATCTTGCTACCAACAGGTTACTGTGTGAAGAGTTGAAGATTACTATTCACTAAAATTAACAATTACTTATGGCCAAAGTTAAATTTGAGACTTTAACCTTCATAGTACGAGTTGGAGGGGTGGACCTTTTCGTCGGTAGTATCAGATATCTAGAATTTTTATGAAAAAAAAAATCGATAGATGAAATAATTACGAGATAACTTTAAATTGCATTCGGTAGAGATGACTTTTTTTGGGTTCTTTTTAGGCAGGGTCTCGAAGAAAGGTCAGCAGCAGGAGCCCGGTGACAGACCACGTTCCTTTGATATCAGTGAGGGCTCAGACAAAATCCCCGCAGGTAAGACCCACATTTAAAACGGACATCGTCAAAACGACATTTTTTCGCGTTTAATTTACGATCTCTATGCGGTAATTGTTAAATGCACTCGGAAATTGAAATTTTCTCTTTGATAAACTAAGGGAAAATTTCTTATATTTGTGTAGAAAGAAGGTTCTTCCCGATCCCAGTCCTCCGAACCAAGAAATGATCCTCGGCCACTAGAGGTTACAGTAGTGTCAAAGGTAGAATCCGAACCAGAGGTAAAAAGGGAAACCTCCGAGAGGCCACAAAAACCTGACCACGATGCTTATCTAAGTCTACCGGGCACACCAGAGCCGCATATCCCTAAAGTGAATGTAAAAGAAACAAAAAGAAAGAGTCTACCACCCGAGCTGACGCCAAGAAAAAGCAGCAAGAACGAGGTGGAAGGAATAAGTAAATCTGCGACAATAGCAAGTCTAGCGAGTTACACGACACCAGCAGCGGACAGTGAAATCTACCAACTTCCACAAACTGAACATTTAAAGGTGAGCAACTATGTGTCACACAGAGATACCTCACGCAATTTTTGCTTCAACCACATCACACAGGCAACCACTCTTTTTTCATCGCCGGGGTGGGTTCGGGAGGAGGGGGATGTCACATGGTTTTCAGAGAGAATGGAAGGGGAATCAGTCGACGCAAACTAAGTATGACTGAAGAGTGGACAATTAAAAATTGACTGCCAATGAGGAGGAATCATAAGAACGTTACAGAGCCCCACTCCCACGTGATACATAGTGCGCGGTCTCACGATGGGTCTGAATGTGACTGACTTTGTTTCGCTTGCTCTTCTTTATGGTAAAGTGCTGTGTTTCTGTGTCAATTATTCAGGTTCATTCTAAGGTGGAGAAATCCCACAGTGAACCGATGTTTCCTCCTCTAAATGATCAAACGAAACCGACCAATAAGCAACCCGCTAGTCCTGTGCACAGCAGTACAGACACTCGGAAGCTTAGTGTCCAGTCCTCTGCCTCAACTGGAGGATCGGGAGAAAGAAAACCTCGGCGGACATCACGAGGGACACATCAAGGCGCTTCTTTAAACGAGGTAAAGCTTACATGGTGACATAAGTGGATCAATGTAAGTATCTAAGCAACTGCACACCTTCCCCTCCCATTACTTAGACTTTCCTTGGGTTAGAGGAGGGGTGACTGCCGGCTGCGCAGTTGCTCAGAAATAGACACCGATCCGCTATTTTCTTAGACCGTTAAGTCTTATCATCTATACTTTGCTCTCAATGTTTCATTTTCTATCTACTTATTCCTTTCATCTTTGTATATACTCTTGCATTTCAGCTGGAAAGCTTGTTTTCTAATCCAGTTTACGTCAAACCTCAGAGACCATCGGTGTCTAGTCTGCACGGACCACGCGATGGAAGGGAAAGAAAACATTCATACGAGGTATAAAGATCCATGGAAAATTAATCATTTCGCTTTATGCTGACGATGTCAGTGATACTATGATTTTAACTGATTTGGATTTCTGTTTTGTTGTTCCACAGATGGCTCAGAGGCCAGGGTCGCGAACATCCTCGAGAAACACCGAGGAAACAATGCTTTAAAAGAAAGATAAAAGTTTTCAAGAAGTGAGAAGAGATCTGCAGCGTCTAAAATATTAAAGTAACATTAAATGCTCTTGTTGGAGGCGTTTCGTCTGTCCGCGAAGATATCGAAAAAAAGATATCGAAAAACACGAAAAACACGTTTTTTGAGGGTTCGATAGACCAAAGTATTATCTCTATCGTTGGTGAAATTTAGAGTGCATTTCGAATGAATGACTTCGAAAAAACTAAATGAAAACGGAAATATCACCACGAGCCCAAGAAAACTCAAAGGAAGCACAAACAAACCCACGAAAGCCCAGGAAGTTGTGATTGGTTTTTTCTATTTTTGCGCGTGATAGATTGAGAGGGTGGCGGGATCCTTCTCAACCAATCGCAGGGAGCAATGAAACAGACCAATGCTATTCAAGATAACTTGAGACAGTTGAAAATTGCTTTAGTAATGTAATACTGACTGCGTAGATCTCAGTTATTGTTCGAGGCATCGGTAAGCTATATCTAAGAAAGTTTTTAAGGACTTAAGTACTTGAACGGGGCCACTTCGAATTTGAAATGATAACAAAGACCTATAATTTTACAAAAAAAAAGAAAACTCCTTGAAATAAAGTTGCACTTAGGTTGAAAAGGAGAAAGAGTTTTATGCGTATCTTCGTTTCAGTATGAACAAACCATAGCCCAAATCATTCAACTTAAATGCAAGCATGCACTAGATTAAAAGCAGAGATGTAGTGGCTGGATTTTCACTGCCCTCTACGGCCATCAGGTAAAGAACACATTTTCTTGGGTGCGGAGCGTCCACCACTACACTGGTTTACAAGTGGGAAAAACCCATAACCACCTCAAGACTATCGATTTTGCAGCGGTCACAACAGATAAAACAGGCAGTTTAGTGTTCAGAAGCACTTCCTCCACTCAACTGTAAATCAAGTAATTTTCATTGCAATCAAGTTGGTCTATTTAGTTCTTGTTCAAGCTCATTGAAAAGACTTAAAGCTGGTAACCCTTCGATTGGATGCCTTTACTTAGCTTTAAGTGACTGAGTAGAGCTGAGTAGTTCAGAGGTAAAAGGCAGCTGACTTAAATTGATGCTTAATGTTTAGAACTCATTCCCATTCACATAAAACCCAACAATTGCAAGACAACAGAGGAAAGAATGCCTCTGATTGCACAAGGTGGTGTTTTGCAGGATAAAGTTGCCCTGTAGGCAAAACATTATTGATTTAATTCAGACACTTCACAGATTCTATTACTTGTTCAATGAATTGTGAGCTGGGCAAACACACACTGACATGAAGCCAATAATAATTTGCAACCAGCACATTTTACAAACACAAAATGGAAGCCAGTAGAGAGGGTTCTAAGGTAGAAAATGTGAGGCCTAACTCACCACTATATCCTCTTTAACTTAAGTTGAGCACCTCACCGTGAAGTTACAACTGTCGAGGGCTTGTATCCTCCTTTCTCCAAGTCCCATGTTTTACTTTGTCTAACAACTTCCATGTTTCTCTTAAATTCTTAAGTCTAAAACCACCAACAGTGAAACACTTCCAACCTAACTACAGAATTCACTTTGTGACACATATTGCTCAAGAACAGAGGAATTAAATGTGGTGCCTCTGTCAAAATACAAATTTACTTTTGCATTTGATAGGAAAATAACCAAGTGTTTTGTTCCAGATGTCAGTGTTGCATTACTCTTGAGCATGCTAGGACCTCTGGATTCCTGTGGCATAGGCTTGCACGGTGCTATAGATATTCTTGTTTCACCGTGAATATTTTTCTTGAACAAAATCAAAGGCCTTGTCCTCAAGGATTTTCATCTTTAAACTAAAAGATGAGACTTGTGGACCAGAACATAGTGACTTGCCAATTTTTAACAAACCCGATAATAGTTGTTCTGAAGAAATATACAATGTAGAAGTCAATTCTAAGTTACAATTCAATTCAGGGAAGTAAACAAAATGAATAAAAACCTCTTACAACCAGTTGGAAATTATTCCTTTATTAATTACTGTAAAAACCCAGGCCAATAATTACTGTTTTTACACAAAGAACAAAAAATAGCTCTTCAACACACTTAGGTCAGAAATAAAGAAAAAAGTAGAAGATCTTGACAGTCCCTCAAACATTGTAACCAATCAAACTTTTTCTTCCTATGACTTCACCAACATAAAACCAGAAGGCAATCTCCACAGCAACCAAGGTATTTGCAGCAGCCTCCTTAACAGTAAGATCAAGGAACTTGCCCTTCATGGCAGAATCTTTCAGACCAAGAAAGCTTTTCTGTATAGCCCGCCAGTCTGATGGCTTTGGAGGAAGCATCTCCACTTTGGCATTTTTGAGGAAAGTCACAACAGGGGGCTGTGCTTTCTTAGCAACATCTAGGTGTACAAGATAATACATTATTTAACTAAATAGTAATAATTCTTCCTGCAAGGTCTTAAATAATGAAACAAAACTAGCTTCTCACTACACCTCACAGTCTTCATTGGACACTTCTTTATTATGGTAAAAAAAAAAAAGACCAATTACTGCTGTTTTTACACACAATAAAAGGTTTTCATCTAACTGAGGTCAGAAATATAGAAACAGTCAGTACAATAGTACCTTATAGTTCATCGAACACTAAAAACAATCAAACAAGACTGTAAGGTACAGTCAAAACCCAATATCAACAATGGATGTACATAGTCAGGTTTTAACCACTAATTACAAATGAAAAATCTTATCATTCTTCTTTCCTCTTTCCCTTGGAAAAGATTTGGCCATAGGCAAAAAATTTATGACGTTGATTTCATAAACTATAATTTTTCGATTAACTATTGGCCATTACTATGTAATATTTCAGTAATGTAGCATTGGGAGACATAAATCAAGAGAGAGAAAGAGAGAATAACAAATATTGTAATCAGGGAACTCTACAACTACAGAATACAGGATCATTGAGGTTCACCTTGTCGGCATGCTTTGAAGAACGAGGCAGAAAACAAAACGATACATTGTGATTCAATGAGATGTAAATAAGTGGCCCTGTATTCTGTAGTTTTACCCTTTAGTGGAAATGTCATTGAAATGAGTATTACTGTAATTAAGTCAACAGGTTGAATGAAATTTACCTTTCAAAACACTATGATTGCTTTCAAGAGCGATAAAGTGCAATAAATATTTCCAAGTCAGTATTAGATTTACATAAACAATTAACACAACTTCTTCTAAATATAGGTAAGGAAAACAGCCACACTCCCAAGACTTCTGGTCTCTTACGGTTTGGATCGTTTTGTTTGCATCCATTTATTCCTCTTACCATTGTTTTAATTTCATTGCATTCAAAGTAACTTGACGATAGGAAACAATTAGAACAGATTTTTTGCTACAGTATTCACCGCAAAGTTTTATCAGTAAGTCGAATATCAGCCCACACGCCGGTAGCTGGTCTAGCGACATTTCACTACAAGATTACACATACAACTCGGGTAGAAAAAAAGAGATCTAGAAGAATAGAAAAAGACAAAAATAACAAAAATTACTTTAATTTCTTACCAAGAGCTAGAAATGATACTTTAGTGACCAAACGAGGAGTTGCAGTCGCAATTCTCTGTCCAAGGTTTACTAGCTTCTGCGCCATTTTGGATGTTCACTGCGAAGCGTTGAAACCATCATGCAGTGCGACGAAAGTGACCAACATAGTCATGCGCAATACGATAATGTCATACCACGTGCGTTAGTTGTGTTCCTGAAGGTTTTCCATGGGTAGACCAGGTAAGTTATTCGTTATTTCTTGCTCATTTGGCTGAGCTTTGAACGTCTACTAATTGGAATTACGTATTTCAGGTTTTAGTCCGCGTGGTGGCCGAGGAGGAGGTGGAAGAGGTGGCGGTGGACGAGGTTTGTGAACATCTTAATTCCCAGCTGAATCCAATCGTGCTGTTTATACTTGAAGGTTTTGCGTATAACTCGTGTCCGATAATAGTTTGAATGTATAACTCGTGTCCGATATTAGTTTGAATGGGTTCTCTTTCGAAAATGTGCTACAAACTAAACTTCTTTTTATTTTGATCAAAAAAGAAGTTCTTGCATGTGAGCCCAACATCTCGATAGATATAAATGTTGATCTTGCAGACAATGCTAAAACGTGCTCCAGTTTACTTCTGGTGTTATTTATGCCATGCATAATCTTGTGTGGAAATTTTGTTCTTGGTAAGCTATCAGAAGTTTAATAACTCAACCATTTGTTTTGAGGCGAAAAGGACTTTTTGTATTTGAGTGCATCTACTTGGTAATTTAATCTGAACACACAGTACTCATGCATAGTACCAGAAACAGGAAGATCTTATCCACATGACTGTAGAAGTTGTAATTTCCTCCTTGGTTGAGGTGCTACAGCTGCAGTCCATGTTAAGTTATCCATATTCCCCCAACCTGAACAATCAGTCAAGTTTTCGTGGCATTTAGCTAGGTTGTAGCTGCAAAATTAGGCTGCCAGCTGAAATGGAAAGTGAGGCTGCTCAGAGATGGGGAAGGATCATAAGTGCACAACTTCAAAAAAGCTTGTTGTGCTTTACTGAGCAATCGCCAGTAAGAAATGTAACTGGCAATAGCCCCTTTTTCATCCAGTGAATTTCACCGACAGCCATTGCTTGAAGACAAATCTTAATTGGGTAGCACTAGTTTTTA